ATCTTGTGGGCGTAGGTCGTGGAAGGCATGGGTCCTGAGTTGATGATCTGCTGCCGTTGACGAAAGGGTAGTGGTCGTAGATTCTTGCCGATGGACGTGAAGCGCCTAGCTGCCAGTCGTCGTCGTGTCTGGTGTGTTCGTCGTCGGGTGGTGGTCTTGCCTCCGCGGTCGATGCCGAGGTCTCGTCCCTCCACCGCCTTCGCAACAGGGACTCCTAGCTCATGGAGCCTTGCAAGTGCATCGTTGGTGGCCTCGGGTGGGAGGGGGGGGGGGCTCGTAAACAGGATAGACTTGTTGGCCATGATGAAGTGATGCTCCGAGAGCTCTATGAAGATGCTGTGGGTTGCGGAGACTATGCGGTCGGCGATATTGGATCTGGTGCCGACGCGCTTGATGCTGATGTCGTCGAACCAAGCCCGCGGCATGTACGTTGGTGATGACGCCGCGAGACCATCGAGCACTACGTGCACCACCGTTCGTGCCAGGTTGCTGGAATGTCGCGAGCCTGCCAATAGTGACCGCGGCGCATACTGCGGTACGGAGTACGCCCCGTTCTGACGGCACACCCGCACAACACTGTGCATCTGCAGCGCCATGGCCAAGATTCTCGGCGGGAACTTGAACCTGGCGGCGGCTTTGCCGATGCCGTGGTGGAGCAGTGAGTCGTAGAACCCTTGTATGTCCACCAAACTCGCACCATGCACAATACCTAGCTCATGAGTCACTTTGTCGGAGATTGTGCGGCAGAGCGCCTCTCGTGGACAAGAGTTGCCCGCAACTGCCGCATCCCACTTAGATTGCATAGTTCGCATCCAGTTGCGCACTTGAAATCTGTTGAGTAGTTCCCTGCATCTGCAGAACCACGTGAGTAGAGCTAGTGCGCGGTCTCCTTTCTGCTTGGGTTGTGGCATTATGATCGCCGGCATGAATTGCCGCGGAAAGCCGAGCTTGGCCTCGCACAGGTTGTAGAGATGAACCAGTGCTTGCCGCCCCGCAGGTGGCAGTCGCCTGGCGTCCGCCATGGCCATATTGTCCGCTCCCCAACCTTTGTCTGGTTCGCCCTGCAGCGCGCGGTCGAGGTCCTCCAACGTCCATGCAGGCATGTCTTCCTCGACCGCTGCCGCCTTGAGCTCCCAAATCAGGCTGATGATTTGGTCGTCCGTTGTGGTGTCCGTGTGCCGCAGCTGGGTGAACTGCGCGGCCTTGGCGTCGATGATCTCCGTAGCTGTGAAGTGCTTGGTGCCGTGGGCGTCAATCAGCTCATCCTCGAACCTGGGCTGCTCCTTCGTGATGCGGTGGATGGTGCCAGGGGAGGTCTTGGCCACGTCGCAGACCCATTGGGCGTAATCGTGGTTGCTGGCTCGGATATCGCGTCGTAGGACCCACTGCGTCTCTTGAGTCGCCTGGGCGGCCATGCCCTTGATGATGTCGCGGTCAAGGACAGTGAGATCCAGTAGTCTCTCCTTCCATAGTTGTCGGTGCAGGGCAGCTCGAGCTGACTCGTGGCGCCCTGCTGGGGGGGTGCCCCGGTGGGCGAGGCGTCGGCAGCTATCGGCGATGGCTCGTCGTTGCTGCTCGCCTCATTGTCGGGTGAGGAGTGTGTGGTAGTGGCCTAGAGCAGTAGCTGTACTGCTCCACCAATCAGCGCATTGGTTGGCGTAACGTGATCGTCGGTGTCCGCAGGTGGCCGACCTGACCCAATGGTACTCGTAACCCTTGCCGCGCCCCAAGAACATCTGTCGGTCGTCCTCGCTGATGCCGTAGGCGTCGCAGAAGAAGGCTTCCATGGTGTGCATGAAGGCGGCGTAGGCCTGGCCCAGGTTGTCCGCGGCCTGCGGATCTGCTCGGTAACTGATGCTGTCTTTGATGTATGTGGGCGCCGTCGTGTGTGCTGGTGGTTGGAGCGCTGCCAGACGTAGCCACTCCTCCTCCATCGTGGTTGTGCTCCCCGGCGTAGTGCTGGGAGGCCTAGGCGCCCCCGCTGTGGGAGCCGCGGAGGAGGGGCAAGCTGAGGGCAGGTCGTGCTCGTTGGCGTGTTGGAGGTCGTGAAACGGGTCTCTGTCGGTCGTCTCCAGCTCTGGTGGGAGGTGCTCGTCGGCTGCTGCGATGTCAGGGTCGAGGTCGAGCTGTGCGAAGGGGTCGTCTTCGTCGTGGTATGATTCGGTTCCTGCTGGTCTGCCAGCCACTGATGTGTCATCAAAACCTGTGGCGGGAACAGTCCATCCGCTCGGAGTGAGGGCTTCCCATCGCTTGTTGAGCTCGTTGTGGTCGTCGCAGACAGGCCTAGGTGGTTGTGGTCTTGGTCGTGGTGGTCGCCCCGCTTCGGTGGCTTCGCGTAGACGTCGCTGTCTCCTGCTGTCAGGGTCAGGTCGTCGGGCAGGAAGCCGTGGGTGGTTGAAATTGGAGGGGAGTCGAAGTTGTCGTGTCCAGCATTCCTGTGCGGCTCCGTGAAGTCGGATGACCTGGCCAAGGTGCGGCTTCCACGGGACGTCCGCACACGTGGTGATGCTCACGAAGTGGGGCACTGCGTGTGGGCTGAGAAGTGCGTAGTCAATGATGGAAGGTGTGGCGCCCTTCATGGCGCATGTGAAGCTGCCGTCTGGCACGCTGGCTATGGTGGCGGCGCCGAGTGCGGTAGGCCAGCCAGAACGCCAGAGTGTCTCTGGCGAAAAGTTGAAGTCGCCTGCCACGATCCACGGGTAGGAGGTCGTCCGCAAGAAGCTGCCCAGGCTGCTGATCTTCCTCGCGTTCACTTCCACGCGCAGGGATGAGCCGTCGTCCAAGTAGAGCGATCTGGTCAGGATGTTGTAGCCCTTCATGTGCCAGAGCATGGGCACCCAGTCGTAGAAGTCCACTGCCCCTCCAGTAGGACTGCAGCACGACGTAGCGGGTGTTGTCCACCCTGGCGCGGAAAGCTCCCGAAAAGTGGAGGTCTGGAGGTAGTTGCGGGCGCCCACGCACACACCCCCGTGCGTGCCCCGCGTGGAGCTACGTGAAGACAGCGCCGCCGAGAAACACGTCTTGAGGCCCACCGCGCTCAAGTGGCGCTCCACGTCGGTAGTGCTGCCCATGTCTAGGTGCGTCTCCTGAATTAAGTAGCCGTGGAAGTAGCGCCGCAGCAAGGACCCCTCGATCCACTTCAGCGCCGTCGGACCCCGCTGCGTGATGGTGCCGCAAAAAAGGTCCCTGTGCTCCACCGCGGTCTTCTGGTGGGCAGGGCTTCGCCTTCAGGCGGCGGCGGTGCTGGAGGCGGCGGCGCCCTTGCCGCTGCCCCTCTGGGTGACCACGAGCTGCTTGGCCGCCTCCTGCATCACCCGATGCGCGCGCATCTCCTCGAACTTCTTGGCCGAAATCTCCGCGGCTGCGGCGGGGCTCACCTCGGTGGCCCCAGCATCTTCTGCGGTGGGTGGAGTAGCTGAGGCCCCTGGTGTCGCAGCCTGCGTCGTCGTCGCACCCGAAGCCGAGGCTGGTGCAGCGGCTGCAGTGTCTGCTCCATCGGGTGGCTTCCGCTTCTTCGCCCTCCGCTCATTGATCGCCTCGTGGATGCGCCTCGCGTTGTCCAGGCGCGCCTTGATCTCGTCGCCCCGCTCCGAGAACTGGTTCTTGTAGCGCTGAGCTCGCCCAGCACCTTCGCAAGGTCCGCCTTCTCGGTGTCCTCTATGCCGTCCAGCCCGTCGAGGTTCTCGAACAGGGCTGGATCCCATGAGAGCGTGAAGACTGCCTCTTTGTCCTCACCTCCCACCTGCTTCGAGAAGGCCGCTGCTGCATCGCGTCGCTGTTGTTCGGCTCGTGCCAGGGCAAGCGCCGCCGTCGCCTCCTTCTCACGTGCTGCTGCCAGCCGTTCCTCGCAGACCAGGACCTGGTTCACCGCCTGCGCTCATAGCGGTAGCTGGCGTCCTTCCAAGCACTGGATGCCTTCTTCACCAGCTCGTCGGGGGCGGGCTCCTTGGCAGCAGGCCCTTGGTGTGGCTGGAGCTGCGGGGAGGGTGAGCCCGCTGCCAGGGTGGTGATCAGCTGCTGCAGCGCCGTCGCGTCCACGGTCACCATCGCTGGCTGCTGGGGCTGCACTCCTGCGGAGGAGGAGGAGGAGGAGGAGGAGGAGGAGGAGGAAAAAGGGGGACGGGGGGGCAGCAGGAGCGCTCCAGCGAGATTCGAATCGGGCGTGCACGGAGGTGCCTGCCCCTCGCACAGGGTGGCCCCCACCCCCCATGGCCGTCTTGGAGCCTCGATGGGGTTCCTCCAAGGCCCTGCTCCGGGCGCTGTCGTAGCAGCCCTGAACCCAGACAGGTTGACGTCTCTTGCGATAGCAACCTTCGCCTCCGCTGGCTTCCGCCAGCGGCGCCGCCCTCGTTCTGCCTCCGCCAGCCCTCCGCCGAAGCAGGGGGGCAACCCACTCGATCCCTCGAAAGGCGAGACGCCCTGTCTTGAGCGCCATTGTCTGGGGGGCCGCCAGGGGTCACCTGCAGCCCCGCCCTGGGCCAGGACCGATGGGCAGCGGCAATAGGAAGGGGACTGGCTCGGGAGGGCGGGGGGCACCGACCAGGAATCGCAGCGCATTCGCACGTTCCTGGGCGGGGTGGGCTATCGGGCCTCCATCGGCGATCAATGGGCGATCGGGATCGAGGCGTCTCCCCTGAGCCTATCCCCGGAAGACGCGGATCCTGAAGACCACCCGCCATCGACGCCGCGCGCCTCTCGACGGGAAGCCCGCCCGAGAGCTTCTCCGAGAGCTGCCCGGCGACGGGCGCGCCCAAGAATACCCTCGCTGACGAGGACGAGGACGACGGACAGACGACGACGGATGACTACCGGCGGCGGGAGACGACGACAACGCTGGACGACGCCGGACGACGCCGACGGACGGACGACGACGGGCGACGACGGCGGCGGCGACAGACGACGACGGCGGCGGCCGCGGCGGCGACGGGCCGAAGACGCACGCCTCGCCTCACGGGCGGCTCGGCCAAGCCGGTGGGAGGGGGGAGCGGCGGCGGGCGCGCCGGGTTCTGCGCGGCCACCAGCGCGGCCTGCAGCAGCTGGGTCTGGATCGTGGTGGTGCTCGCCTCGGGGAGGGGGGGCACCACGGCAGGGCAACGACGGCGACGACGACGACGACGAGGATGACCACCACGGCCACGACCATGACCACGGCCACGGCCATCACGGCGGGACGACGACGGCGGCGGCGGCGACGGCGACGACGACGGCGGCGGCAATGTTCGCCGTGTGTGTGTGGGGGGGGGGCAGCGCAACACGACGGCGGCGAGGAAGAGGGACGAGCACGATGACGGGCCGGCGGGGGCACACTCGGGCGCGAGCGGATGCACGGAGGCGCGCCTGTTGGAGGCCGCGATGGCAGGGCCGTGGCAGGTGGCCGAACGGAAGAGGAAGACAAGACAGGACTTGGGGCTCCCAGAACGGTGCGGTGACAGGCCGGCCTGTGACGCAGAGATTCCGAAGGACCTCCACGCACCGTTCTGTAACTCCAGAGGCCGCCGACGCTCTGAGACGGCACACGCAGCCCCTTTGATCGCTCCAAGACGGCCCATTTAAGCCTCCAAGCGAGCCCCCAAACGGCCTACGGGGACTCCCAAACGGCCCAAGTTTCTCCCAAAACGGCGCTGGAGACAGGTGTCGGAAACAGTTAAACAACACTCATGCAAAACATATGGTTTGAACTCCCCCCCTCCCCCAAGTGCAATGTTGGTTTCGGAACTTCCGATTTTGGGGCTCCGAGTGGTCTTCAAGGAACGTGCCAACTTTGAATTGCGGGAGAGGGGGGGAGTGTTGCTTAATTTCTTCCCTCAATCAGCCGGAGTCCCAAGACACCTTCAGGAAGACCCCTCGGAGCCTCGAAGGGGAGCCCCAACTGACATTTCGAGCGTTCGGTCTCAAAGTCGCCCCCAAAGCCCCCCCCCAAGGTCTCCGAAGAGCTTTCAGTAGGTCTTCGGCCTCCAAATCGCCCCCAGAGCCTCCCCCCAAACCTCCGAGGAGCTCCCCGTAGGCCCCACGAGGCTCCCAAGCGGCCCCCAAGAAGGTCCAAGAGGCCCCCAAGAGGCGCCAAGAGAGCCTCAAGAGGCATCCAAGGCGCGCCTCGATAATTAGGCATCCAGGTCGCCCCTTGGAGGCCCCTGAGGGCCCTTAAAGCTGCTGCGGAGGAGCTCCCCGAGAACCCTCAGAAGAGACACCAAGAAGCACCCATGAGGACTCCCACTCGCAACCGCGCCAGCGCCGACCAACCGCGCCTCGTGGCCCACGAACGCGCACGCAAACGATGGCACAACACAGACCAGCGGAATGAGCGAAGCGATCGGCCACCCCACTGGGTACAGTCAACCCGTATCATAAGCATGCACGATAAGGATGCAATGGCCTTGGAAGGCCATGTTGGCACTTCGCGAGCGTGGCGCGGCCAACGAAAGCGGCCAAGGATGGACCGAGGAGGCAAGGATGCAACCCTTGGGGAGGTTGCCTATCCTTACTGTGCGGGTTGCTGTACGGCGTGTGAGATCCCCGCACCCCTCCGTCCCTTGCCCACGCACTCCTCGTACCCGTGCCCTTCCTCAGAGCCCTGGCAACCCCTCCCGAGGTCCTCCCCACGGCCTGCTCATTCCGCGGGACCGGGGGCCCGCGCTGAGGCCGGGCCGCCCTCATGCCACCACTTCCGTCCCAAAACGACTCCCCTTTCACGTGCTCGGCTTCCGAGCGCCACCAGCCCTCTCAAAGACCTCTCCGGGAGCCTACTGGGCCGGTTTGGGGGAGCATCTCGGGGCCCTTTCTGGGCTGATCTTGACTGCCCTTCGGGCCACCAACGGCCGTCCCGGGTGCCTCTCCACCCCTCTTCGAGTCTCATACACCAGAACCCCCCAACAAGCAACAAACATTGTAAACACACACACACGCACATATGGGATCATGACGATTTGTACTTATCGGGCTGTTCCTGGCGCCTCTTGGAGCTCCGGTATATCTCCGCGGGCTCTTGCGACCATCTTGGAACTTGCGGATGCTGTTTGCGGCCGCCCTGACAGCCTCTCGGGGCCCACCACGCCCGTCTGGACCCCTGTTTGGTGCTGTCGTGAGCGGTCTTGGGCGCGCCCAGGGGGTCCCTGGAAGCCCTTCTCAGGCCCCAGATCTAACTGGCGATGCCTCTCTGTATCCCTCTTCGGTTTCCTCCGCCGTTTTCGACATCTTTGGGTGCCGTTTTAGCCCGTTTTCGGGCCCTCCGGGGATCCTCTTGGGCTCGTCTCCGCGTCTTCTTGGACCCTCTGGGACCAAACTGGTCCCCCCGAAAGGAAACTCCGGGCTCCAACAAAAAGTGGGGCGGCGGTGTCTGCCCCCTCAGGGGCGTTCAATTCATTCACGCCATGTAAACATCAAGCCGCATCGGATCGCCGAATACCAGAACCAAATCAGATCCAGCAGGCCAGAATCGACATCGAATCGGCACCACCACCACCGCCACCACCGCCACCACCGCCACCGCCACCGCCACCGCCACCGCCACCGCCACCAACAACCCCACCACTGTCACCGCCACCGCCACCACCACCACCACCGCCGCCACCACCACCACCACCACCACCGCCACCACTCCAACCACCACCACCACCTCCATTATCACGATGAGCCAGGAGAGACCTCCTGAGGTGCTGTGGTCCCCCCTTCCCCGCCCGAGACACTCCCTGTCCCCAGCTCGGGGGGGGGGGCGCCGTGGACCTCCTCCCTGGAGGTGGCACGCATGCTCGTGGCGTCGCTCTTCTTGTCCCACCGACCTCAGCTCCGTCCCCGCCTCGATCGCGCCGCGCCACCGCCAGCCGGCCCGTGACGAGATCGACGGCGGCGGCCCGCGGCGGCGGCGTGCCGCGTGCGCCGCGTGCGCGGGCGGCTTCGGGGCGAAGTGGCTCGTGGCGCCTATGGCGCCTGCGCGCGCGCCCGCGAGCGAAGACAGCCGGGAGATCGGCCCCGGCAGGACCGCCGCCTCTCGGCGGCTCAGGGGTGGGGCCCTGAGGGGGCGGGGCCCCGAGGAACAGGAGGACCCCCAGGATGAGTCCGCCGACCCCTTGGGGCCATCGGCGTGTGAGATGCTTCCCCCTCCCCAAATCGGCTGCACGCAAGAGTGACCCCAAGCAAGAGTGACCTTGGGTGCGCGACTTTGCGGGGGGTGCGGGGAGGCCAAATCCGAGCGCGCAAAGCACTGCTGTCGCATCGCTTTCAGCCATCTGGGGACCCCGGTCTACCCGCACCAAAGGTCCCTCTGGCGAAAGGTCACTCTTACATATAGCCGACCAAACCCCTCCCCCCGGGGCCCGGTCTGGTCGGTTTGGAGGGGGTTGGGGGTCTGGCCGACCCCAGCTGAACGCGTCACGGGCCTCACGACGGGCCATGAGGGCCCCAAGAGGCCCACAAGATAGTCTAAGAGGGCCCCGAGTCGCCGATGGATCGTTCCAAGACGCCCTGGACCCCAGACGGCCCAAGAGGCCCCCAAGAGGCGTCCCAAGAGGGCCTCCAAAGGCAAAAATCGTCCCATTCCCTTAGGGAAACGTATGATTTTAGCACATTCGCCTCTTGGGCTTTCACAACGGCCAAGACCGCCGGCTGGAGGCGCATGCTGGACCAGGGCACAAAATTAATGAAAGTTCGGGGAAACAGAACTCCCTGGCGCCGTTTTTCCGATCCGTGGAGGTCCCTGCGGGTCCAAAAACCCACCCTGAGAACCAACAACAAACTACACCTGGGAGGCCCGAGTGTGGGGACGTAGTCGTCGGCGCCGTCGCCGTCGCCGCGCCGCCGCTGCTGTCCACGGTTCCGTGGGGCGTCTGTTGTCTGGCAGGGTTCACGCACACACACACACACACGCGCACACGCCTGTTGTCTCGTGATGTACAGAAGCGCGCACGTGTGCACAAGTGTGTCATGCACAGGCACCTACACACAATGATGTTTAAAACGGCGATGTCGGGCGATCATGGGGGTCATCGGCGATGTCGGGCGTCATGGGGGGGGGCGAAGGGGGTTATGACCTAACGCCGCCTCCTCTGTGTGGCTCCAGCACCACAGCCGCGCCCGCGCGCACGACGACGATGAGCGACGAGCGACGAACGACGAACGACGAGCGACGAGCGACGACGACGACGACGACGAGGAGGACGACGCGAGCAGCATGCAGGTGGCGATCTGCCCCACAACGCTTGTGTATACCACAGTGCTCGCGTGCACCACAACGCCTGTGTACACCACAACGCCTGCGTACACCGCAACAACCGTGCGCAACGCAGCGCCTGTGTACACCACACCGCTTGCGTGCACAACAACGCCGGTGTGCACCACAGCGAATGCGTACACCGCAGCAGCCATGTGCAACACAGCGCCAGTCTACACCACAATGCGTACGTGCACCGCAACGCCTGTGCACACCACGGCGCCTGTCTACACCACAACATCCGCGTGCAACGCAGCACTGGTGTACACCAGAGTGCGTGCGTGCACAGGACAGGTAGAACGAGCATGTCGGTGAGGATCTGCTGCGGACAGCTGAACGTCACGCCAGGGAAGCGTTGATAATAGAATGCGGCGATTTCCCTCCTCCCTACTCCACCTCCGCCTCCTCCTCGTCCCTCTCCTCCTCCTCCTCCTCCTCGTCCGCGTCTTCCTCCTCATCCTCCTCGTCCTCCTTCTCGTCCTCCTCCTCCCTCACCCTTCCCCCCAATCGTGCGGGTCGGCGCTACAGCGCACGTGCGCATCTCAGCGTGCACCGCATAATGGTCTATTGAATCAATACACTTGGTCTTCGGACGGCCAATTTAGCGGAAACTTCTGGACGCAGATGGGAGGAGTTAGGATGATGCGGGCGGACTCCGGAAGACTCGTAGATTCCAGCGGCGCTCCTTTTTCCATGAAAATTCCGTTAAAAAATTGGCTTCCGTTGAATCCACTGGCGCTCCATTTTGTCATAAGGGTTCGTGATCAAATTCTATATGCAACAATGGTGCTTTGTTGCACACGGTTGCTGTGGTGCACACAAGCGCCGTGGTGTACACATGCGCTGTAGTGCACACGGCTGATGTGGTGTACGCAGGCGCAGTGGTGTACACAAGCGCTGTGGTGCCAGCAGGCACTGTGGCACACACTGGCGCTGTGATGCACGCGGTTGCTGTGGTGTACATAGGCGACGTGGTGTACGCAGGCGCTGTGGTGCACGCAAGCACTGTGGTGTACACAGGCGTTGTGGTGCAGATCGCCACCGACATGCTGCTGCTATCCGTCCTCGGTCATTCCTTCCCAGACGCCGCCGGCGCGAAACGTGACGTCATCGGCCCCCTCCCCAACAAGATGATTGCCGTCATCGGCCTGGTATGATTAGTTTTACTATTATTGTTTGATATTAAAGAAAAATCCAGTTGCGTCCGCGCGCACGACGACGATGAGCGACGAGAAACGAGCGACATGGACAGCGACGACGACGACGACGACGACGACGACGACGACGACGACGACGACGACGACGACGACGACGACTGCGGACCAGACTCCTATGCGGATTATATGCGGACACCTATGCGGATCACGACGTGCACGGCGGCAGTGCCCGGAACGCACTGGGGGGGGAGCGTTACGTCGTAGGGGGGGGGGATCGGGGGCCATGACGCCCGTCATGCCCCAAGCAATCAAGAAACGGGCTCTTATGATGATGGATGGATGAAGGTGGTTTTCATACAGTGATCCTGTACGGTATACGAAGACAGAGGAAGACCCGATCGGGCCCCGTGAGAGGGCGCACAAAAAAGGGCGCCAACGTCAGCCTCGAAGGGGGCGGGGATTCTAGCATCCTGGTCCCCTAGAGGCCCCTTAGGGTCCCCAGGGGAGTAAAACCAAGAGAGGGGGGCACGATGACCAGAAAAACGGCGCCGAGTAACGCGGCAGCAGCGCCAGCGGCAGAAGCGGCAACAACAGCAGGAGGGAAAGGGCGGATCAAAGAGCCCGAGCAGCACGAGGGGGGGGGATGGGAGTGTAAATGATGTGTTTTACCTGCAGCGAGGGCTTAACAAAGCCGTGATGCCAAAGGCTGAAAGGTGCACCTGAACGCACAGACAATTTGGAAAGAAACGCCATCGGCATGCGAGCGCATACACATGTACACAATATACGCATGTCAACTAAGCTCGCACATTCACACTGATCTTAAAATCTTCTTCCCGATATTGGCTGGAACACGATAGCACGGATTATCTGATTATTGTCGCCGTCGTGCGTAAAATAAATACCACAAGATACGAAAGCTATGCAAATGTAAACGTGTTTGCTCGGCGTTCAGGCACAAAAGAAAAACAGTTCACTGGCCCTCGTCCGGGCCTGGCAAATTCCTCGGGATGTGCAGCGAACCCGAGACCAAGCGACAGAACTGACCTGTCAAATCCATCGTCTTAGTGAGAACATCGGCCAACATATAAGCTGTGGGGACCCACCGCATCGGCACATCTGCCACGTTCATACTCTCGCGGGGGTCCACGGCAGCCTCCAGCTGCATGGCCTCGCGCAGCCAAGCCAGATCCATGATCAGGCGCTTCTCCTGCGGGAGCTTACCGGCGTCCCGCTGGAGGGTGTCATACAGCGACTTGCAATCCGTCACGCACGTGATCGGGAGCATACGAATGTTGGCTAGCATCTCACGGTTGGTCACATCTAGGTCGGCATACATCATCTCGAGTATCACGGCGCGCACAAACTCTGCTGAATCAAACGCCTCGGTACAACTCTGAGTCTCGGCAGCGAAGGTACTCCTAGCCACGCGCGGCAGCGTGTGGCTTCTCCAATCCACCAGGATCGCCTTTCCCGGGCGTCCTTCAGCAACTGCACGCTCGCACAGGTAGACCAGGTACCCCGCCTGCGAGTGGACCTTCTCTCCTTGAGCGATCCGACGTAGGGCCTCATCCTCGGTGAGTGCGTTTCCCCATGCAGCGTCGTGGTAGACTATCAGGCACCACGGGGACTCCACGTCCAGCTTGGGGATGTGAAACTTCTCGCTGGCCGAGCTCTGCAGCACTCCGATGGCCTTGTTGACGTCCAGCAGGTCTTGGATGCAGGGGGCATTCTGCTTGCGCTGGGCCATAGATACCGCACGCGACAGGTCGGGTCTCGTCTCTCGAGCTGGCCATCCCAAACTGCCGACTGCACTGCGATTGTCCGCGATCTCGCGGGCATTACACTCCAGGCTCGGATCACGCTTCCGGGCCTTGTCGATCTCGATCGGCTCGAGCCTGCCCTCGGTGAAGGTCGACTGGTCCAGCAGGAAACCTCCTTCTGGGTCCGCCTGCAGCAGCTTCCCGCAGAACACCACAGGCACGTGACGCCACTCGCCGAAGTTGAAGAGACCTCGAACTCCCTGACGTAGGGCCTGCGACCTCGCGGCTACGAGGAGATCGTCAGCATGTACGCAGACCAAGATACACAGCCTGCCGTCCTCGTTGAAGCCGCGGAACACCGTCGGGTCGAGACGGGACTGCATCATGAGGATGGGCTTGGCATCGTCGTCCTTCAAGTCAGCCTCGACCAGGCCCCGACGCAGACGTCGCCACCGCAGCCGCGGCGCATCCGCAAGCCCGAAGATGCCTTTCTTGACCTTCAGGAGGCACCGAGGGTCCATGTTCGGCAGGCCCTCCTTGGGCTGAGACATGTAGAGCTCCTCGGCCCGCCCGTGCTCCTCGCCCTGCATGAAAGCACACTCGATGTCGCCGGCCACGATATCGAAATCGCACGCCGCCGCCACTGCCAGGAAAGTGAGCACCGAATGCCTCGACACGGTCGGTGCGTCGGTCCTGAGCCCCATCGTGAGGTCCGGGTCGTTGTGGCCACCACAGCACAGCCGAGCCTTCGGCTCGGGCGGCGCGTCCTTGATTCCAGCGTTCTTGTTCCGGTAGAGGAACCTCGACGTCAAGATGCGGCTCTGGTGGACTCGCTCACGAACCTTCTGACTTTCCTCGACTGAGAGCGGCTCGACGGCGTCGTAGTTCTCCCACTGCTTCCACTGCAACTCGGCCGCCTCGCGATAGAGGGAGCGGTCGCTGGCTGGAATCATGTTCCATGGCATCTCCTTTTCCAGCGCTCGACGTTGCAGCCTAGTCGTGTTCCAGCTCCGCTTCGCGATCAGGCCGAAACTGAAATTGGCGAAGTGAACGGGTTGTTCCAGATGATCGCCTGGGCGCTGAAGCGGTCCGACATGGAACGGACGGAACACCTGGCCCTGCCGGGCTTGTAAAGCCGCCCGGCGCTTCTTGAATTCCTCCTTCGTGTATGGAACTCCTTGTTCGGGTGGAGCTGGCTGAGAGGGCGTCGCTGTCGACGCGGGAGGCTCCGCGCGGGTCGATGACGCGGGCCCCGATGATGCAGCTGCCTCCTGCCGCTTGCGGGGCGGCTCGTCCTCCAGGCGCTCGGCAGCGTCAGCCGGGCGCTTGTCCCTCTCGATCTCCTCGATCTCCAGCTCCAACTCTCTCGCTCGCTCCTCGAGGGTGCCCCCGAGGTCCTGGCCTTCTCTCCGCTGTAGAGGTTGGGCCTTCTCTTCTGCTTCACGTGGTCCCCGCCCTCGGTCGTCTTCGTACTCTGGCTGGTCCTCCTTCTCGACCTTGCGGAGGAGTTCGTTCAGCGCCTCGATGTTGGGATCGTCGCCCTGACCGGGCCACCAGATCTCCTCATCCTCAGCGGGTCGGAGCTGCCCGTGAGAAACTTGAACGGCCCCAGCACCATGCGAGAGCCAAAAGTTGGACGCTCCCGCTGGGCCGATGACGACGGCTGGGCCTCGCCACTCGTGGAGCTTCGTCCCCTTGCGCAGCCGCCAGTAGAACACCAGGTCACCGTTCTGGTAGTTGATGCGGGTGACCCTCGGCTTCCGCAAGAGTGCTCGACGGAGCGCTTGACTATTCTGCAGCTCCACGAAGGCCGTCCGCGCAGCCGTGCGGATAGCAATCCTCCTGGCGAGCTCCGTGGACACGTGATGCATGCTGTGCTCTGCAATCTGGCCGGGCCGATCGATCAGGTCGGCAGACATGGTAGGCGAGCATCCGCACACCCATTGCGACGGTGAAAAGCCGCAGATCCGACGCATGTCGTTCTTGGCCTGGCAGGTTTCCCAGACGGCGGTCTCAAGGTCACCGCGGCTCGTGACTGACTTGTGCTCGACGACGCGGTTGACCATGAGCTTGAGCCAGCCGCCATGCCGCTCCGTGCGGCCGTTCTGCCACTGCGCCTGGCCCGCCACGGCCTTGACGCGGACCCCCATCATGTCCATGGCCTCCTGAAGCTCGGTGTAGAACATGCCGTCTGGGTCTAGCCTGACCACGCTAGGCGGTCCAGCAGGCCACAGCTCTCGGAAGACCTTAGCCACGGTGGCTGGCTTCCTGTTCTTCAGGTAGCGCGCGACGTGGTACGTCGTGGAGGCCTCGACGAGCGACAGGAACAGGTAGGGCTTCCCGCGCGCGTTCCGAAGGTAGAGGCCGTCGACGCCCAGCTCGTCATTGAAGCCGCCGACGGGCGACAGGCGAGATACTCGATGAGATCCCGCAGCAGGCTTGGTCCTGTTGCACGCAGCACAGCGCAGGTGCTTGGCGCCGCGGACGAGGGCATCGCCCGCGCCGTTGAGCCTCAGGTTCCTGGCCAGGTCGTCGTTCGAGGGATGCCCGAGGTTCTGGTGAAGGCGTCGAAGGTGAGATCGAACCTCCAGCGGCAGAATGCCAGCCTTCTCCCCGAACGAGATCGCTCTGGAGCCCATGGGCTCCTCCTCGGGTGCCTCGTCGTCCTCGTCGTCGACGTCCGCCGCCATGGCCTGGTAGCTCTTGTTGCGCACCTCCTCGAACGCGTCGACGATGCGCCGACTGAAGTCCTTGGTGTAGACCTGGCTCCAGGAGATGCCCTTACTGCCATAGCCCTTCAGCTCCGCGTGGTCGTGGTCCTCTGTGCACCGCAAGCCGCGGTGCCTCTCGAAAGCTGCGTGAGTCGCCAATATCCTCGTAGGCTTCTTGACTGCCTTCCCGGTCTGAGGGCAGGTGAGGCCGTGCGCGCACATGTCAGTCTGGAACTCGACCACGCCTGGCAGTTGTCTGAGCCTCTTCCACGGGCCCTCGTTCCAAGACTGCCCCAGCCACGGGTGCTCCAGTACAGCCATGCGTCCGCCCTCGTACTGCATCCCGAAGAGCTTCTCGACTAACTTCAGCGTCGGCAGCTCCTTCAGCCGCGCCCGCCGCAGGCGCTGCTTGTCTCCCTTGAACACGAGGTTCTGCATGTGGCTCCAAATCCTGCAGGTCGGCTCGAGCACCAGGCAGTCTGGCTTCTCGCGATCCACGAAGTCGATCAGCTGCTGCTGGACATTCGGCTTCTTGAGATCGTCGCCGTACTCGATGTCCCAGGGCTGGCCGACACGAAAACCTCGACGGGCGGCCTCGCGCGATGCCGCGGCCTTGCCACCCCAGATCTCCACGAAGTTGATCTTGGCGCCGTCCTCGTCGACCGCGACGCGCACCTCCTTGGTGGCGGGCTCCCCCGCGGCCCTGGCGAAGCTGGCAAGGTTGAGGCCAGCCGACTCGCCGATGGTCGCCGCGAAGCGCATAGCTGGCAGCGTCCACGAAGTCAGAGCGCCACGAAGCCCGCCAATCACGCGCTTCTTCATCCCGCGGCGCAGGGGCCGCTTCACTTGACCAGCTGGAAACCGAGATCGAGGTGGTTCATCAGCTCCTTGTCCTGGTCGGTCTCGGCCGCGCTCGACTCGGTCTCCGCCTCGCTCAGCTCGGACTCGTCGCTCTCCTCGTCGACTCTCGCGAGGTCCTGGTCCGGGTCCCAGCCCGCCTCCGCCGCCGGGACTGGCGTCGTCACTGCTGTCCGAGTCGGTGCCGTCCGAATCCTTGCCAAGCGATCTTCTTTGGTGTCCAAGCTCATGTGAGATGACGTACTCGGGGGACCTCGCTTCTTGACCTTGGCCTGGATCTCCCTCGCCATGGGAGGTGTGCTTGGAGTTGCCCTCGGGGGCGGTCCTGCGCTGCTCGACTGCACGGACTTCCTCGAAGGAGTAGCCGAACCCAGCAAGGACTTCGCGGAGACGGCGCTTGGTGGCATCGGACCTTCTGCTGCTGCCCACGCCTTGATCCTGAGCTTCACGGCGTCCGCCGTCCCGTCGAACGCGATGCCTGCAGCCTGGCAGAAAGCGATGGCCTCGGGCTTCTTGAGCTTGCTGAATCCCGACGCCAGCTTTGCCCTGGGGGTCCCCTTCTGGTGTTTTGCCTCCTCGGGCGGTCGAGTGGCTCGCGGGCTTTCCCGTAGGGCTGCGCACGTCTCGCTCCCCGAGGTATCCACTCCTATGGTCAGCAGCTCCGCGCGCAACTCCGCCTTCGTCATCTGAGTGATCCCCTTCCGAATCGGTCTCACATGAGTCAACCTCGAGATGATACACTTCCGGTAGCCCATGCTGATCATCACGCCGCGCATGGGTGTCATGAGAGCCTGGGCCGCATTCATCAAGATCTGGGCGAAGCGCCGCCATGCCCGCTGAGGATCTGGTCGCTTCTGAATCTGGCCCGGCATGTGCCGTAGAGGGCCCAACTGATATGGAACATGAACTTGGACTCATCCTGAGAGGTTGGTTTGAGCCTGGGGCTGCAGAAGTCGATGTACACGTTTGACCATCTCGAACTTTTGCTTGCTGCTTGTTTTGATACTGCTCTGCATTTTGTCTGGCTCGACCTCCGTTTTGATAAGTTCGCTCTGCATTGTGATAAGCTCGATCTGCATTTTGATAAGCTCGATCTCCATTTTGGCGATGCTGATCTGCTTTATCATGCTGTTGCTGCTCCAGGGCTTCGTATTGCTGCTCAATATCGTGCTGCCGCTGCTCGTTTTTGCAGACCATGAGCGTTTGCTTGATGTCCTGGACCTGGCCCGGCACTTCTGGATGCTGAGCCTGGTGATGAGACGGCTGACGATCATGATGATGACCTTGAATATGATATTGAATCTCTGGCGCCGTCTCGTCCAAGACTGCTCCTGGCGGCGCCACCCAGCCTTCTGCTGGGAACTGAAACAAGTTGAGCAGCGGATGCTGGGAGTCAGCTTCTGTGACCGGCACGGGTGGCACACCCAGCTCCTCGGGAAAACTGAAGGTGCTGGTCCTCGGGTCGTCGCGGATCCCGAGCTGCTTCGCCGCTGGCCTCGAAAAGAGCAGCGGCAGGTCGCCTGGCACAATGCTGACTCGCAGAATGCCCGAAATACGATGTGAAACGCATATCGGGATCAGCGCTGCAAAGGTGCTCCAGACCGGGTCGCCAGCTCCAAACCGGAACCGCTCCTTCTCGTCGGCCCGCTGGCACCTCAGGCCACGCGTGCAGCGCCTCAAGAGCGCCGCCCACAGCTTCAGCATGTCGTAGCCCATCACGCACCTGGTGCAGCCGCTGTCATAGATCGCGAACCCGACGCGTCTCCGCATCTCCTCGAAGGAGGCGAAGATGAACACCGGGAACGAGAGGGCCAGGAAAGAGTAGAAGCCCGAGCTAGTGTTCGGCTTCTTCTCGCCACTAGGCTTGGGCGTGCTCCTGGCCGTCGTCGTCGTCCTCGAACTCATCGCTGTCATGACCCTGTGCGGCTCCGCCTCCGCACAGCCGCCGTCATGGATAGCCAACATCGGCCTGCGAGCTCCCGACGAGGGCGGTCCTCCTCCACGGGTCTTGGGGCACTCAGGGTCGCCCTTCCAGTGCCCTCGCTGGTCGCAGGTCTTGCAGACTGAATTCTTCTTCAAGTCGTCAATATCCTTCTGCCTCTTGGGGTCTCGTTGAACCTGATGCGGTGCTGACGGCGGAGGGTAGCCCCGCTGGTTCTTGAAATCATTCCTTTTGAACTTTGCACTCGTGAACTTCATTCGAAACTTATCCTTCTGCTGGAAACGTTTGTTGCTCTCACGGAAACCTGCCACGTACGCCTCCGCCAGCGCCGCCATGGTCTCATCCTGGTCGTCACCGGGCTCCTGGTCGTCAGCGTCGTCCTCGAACTCATCCAGGCCCGGGAGGCCGGTAGGGTCTCCACCGTTCGCCAAGAAAGACTCCACGACTTGGTACTCGTCCTCGTCCAGGTCGTGTAGGTAGTCCTGGACTGGGTCGTGCACCTCCTCATCGTCGGGCTCGGCGTGCATGGCACGATGTTGTCCACCTCGTGGGGCGAACCTCTGAAACTTCTTGGGCTTGAATGTCTGATCTTGTCCGCGGCCGCCTGGTCGGTCGAACTCAGCAACATTTGGGCAATTTCTCTCGGCCGCCGCGGACATCACCTTGAAATCGTAATCGTTGTTTGCACTGGCCAGCACCATCGCACGTCGATCGCTCGGCAGCCGCAGCTTCTCCAGAAAGAACCATCCGAGCACGATCGCGGGCAACGTCACGGCGAACTTGGCCAGGCGATGCACGAGAGTGTTGAACCTCCTCTTGAACGTACGTATCTGCTCCTGGGGCCGCCTTTTGAGCAGGACAAATAACTCATGCAGCACATCTCCTTGTCGCAGTATCTCCTGCTGCTCAAAGCGGTCTTTGAGCTCGATCATCAGAAACTCGAGCCCTCCTGGCTCGGCGAGCCTCTGCATGTCGATGTCTTCGACGGCGGCCCAAGCATCATCCTGCAGCCTAGCGTAGAGCGCTGGGCCGCGCCGCTCGGACCTGAGGGAGGTCGCCAGCTGCCAGGCTTCGACGCGCCGCGAGAAGTCCCGCCAGCCACTCCCGTCGAAGATCGGGATGGGGAGGTTGTCTCGCGTGCCGCCGCCGTCTCTGTCGGCGCCTCCGACGGGTGTCTCGGGCGCCGCCTCGTAGTCCTCCGCCTCCTCGTCCTCGAGCTGCCCGAAGTCGTCGTCGTCGTGCCTCTGTGGAGGCGGAGCCCGATCCGCACGGCCACGGTCGGGAGACCTCCATACGCGAGCCGCCATGGCGCGCGCTGCAGGTCAGCGCAGAGTGTAAGCGTAGCGCAGACCGAAACACACAAGCTCCGGCTACCAATGTAAATGATGTGTTTTCCCTGCAGCGAGGGCTTAACAAAGCCGTGATGCCAAAGGCTGAAAGGTGCACCTGAACGCACAGACAATTTGGGAAGAAACGCCATCGGCATGCGAGCGCATACACATGTACACAATATACGCATGTCAACTAAGCTCGCACACTCACAGGGAGGACGGAGGACGGAGGGAGGGGGAAGGGGGGAACGGGGAGTGCGAGGAAGGAAAGAAGCAGGAATTTCTCTCCATTGGGGCACGAAAACCCACGCAGAGGGTCATTTAGAATTTCTCTCTGAAGAGGGATCGTAAAGGCATCGTAGAGGCATCCCCGAGGGATTTTGGAGGCATCGTAGAGGTATCGTAGAGGGAACGACAGGCCTCTTAGAGGCCTCTGAGAGGTCTCTGCGATGCCTCTCTGCGACGAATGAGATTTCCTCACGTTTCAGAGAAAGGAACCCGGGAATCAACCAATTGGACTGGGGGATACCTCATCTCACTGGTGCATAAATCATCAAGCCGGTGCTTACAATTCGACTGGGGAGGGGGGGGTCTGGCTGCGGACCTCTGATTACTGCCCACTGTTTGCACCAGCGCGTCCCCTGGGGGAGACCCCACCTGCCTGAAACAGGCGCCCAGAACAGCCAAGATCTAATCCAGGGGGGGGAGTTAGGGGGGTGGTGCGAGCGCCCGCGCCGATCGGCAAAACAATGAATCAGAAAACGATCACCGCTCCTGGTTGACTGCACTCGGACCTCACTGGTGGGGAAGCCGCACGATACTGATATCGATGGTCCCTGGACCCCCCCTATGGTGCGTTCTGACCAGCACTTCGAGGCGAGTCCAGCCGCGGCGACGAGGGCCCCCCAGGAGCCCGAGAAAGGCGAACGCGAGGGAAGGGCAGCGGCAGCAGCACGCCTCCCTCCCCCGAGACTTTGAAAAGGCATGGGAAGCCGCGCGACGAGCATCGGAGGGCACCGGTCGAGCCGCGGGCGCAGACGCGCGCGCGCTGCAGGGGGGCAGCAGTCGGCTACGCGCAAGAGATCGCAAGAGTGACCCCAGGCAAGAGCGACCTGTGGTGCGCGGCCGTAGGGGGCTGCGGGGGAGGCCAAGTCCGAGTAATCCGAGCGCGCCAACCAGTGGTGGTGTCCCTGCGTGCCCTGGGGGGGAGGGCTGAGGAAGTGAGAGGGGAAGGAACGGGGAGGGAGGAGGAAGGAGGAGGAGGAGGAGGAGGAGGAGGAGGAGGAGGAGGAGGGCGGAGGAGGAGGAGGGAGGAGGAGAAGGAGCAGGAGCAGGAGCAGGAGGATTGCAAAATCCTCAGGGCAAGCAGTGGTGTCTGCCCTTAAGGGCCCTCGTGGGGCCATCTTGGAGGCCAAGAGGCGCGCAGCCGAGGCAGGGGGCGAGCGGGCGCGCCTGCGGAAGCGGCGGCGCCCGTCCACGCGGGCACCAGGCCGCTCCTGCCGTCGGAGGTGCGCCAGGTCTGGGGCCGGCTCGGCAGGCGGGAGGGGGGAAGACGACGTCTCGCCGACGTCCTCCTCGGGGAGAAGCCGAGTCTAGACGGAGCTCCTCCAGGAAGAAGAAGAGGAGGAGGAGGAGGAGGCGGAGGCGGAGGAGGCAGAGGAGGAGGAAAAGGTGGAAGAGGAGGAGGAGGAGGAGGAGGAGGAGGAGGAGGAGGAGGAGGAGGAGAGGCCGAGACCAGACGGAGCAAGCCCAGACGGAGACCCAGCACCCCGTATGGACCCACCCCGTGTGGACTTGGCATCTGCCAGGTCCTCGTGCTCGTGCTGCTCTGCCTGCAGCCGCCGCGCCACCAGAGAGAGGGGGGGGCTTTTCTGGCCACGGGGGGCTACCATGAGTTTGCGCACGAGAACATGAGCACGAGTATGTGGCAATGGGCATTTTGTAGTTGTCGTCGTCGTCGTCGTCGTCGTCGTCGTCGTTGTTGTTGTTGTTGTTGTTGTTGTTGTTGGCGTTGGTGTTGCTGTTGAATGTTAGTTATTAAACAATTATTATTGTTGGACCCCTATAGGCGCCCTGGCGCTCTCGCCGAGGCGCCGGCTACATACTCATTGAACATGAGGCTCACGCTCGAGCGGTTTGGGGGACCGCCAAAACCAGCCCCCCAACAACAACAACGCTCCCGCTCGAGACTTCCTCCTTTTTTGCTCAGGGCTGGTGTTTTTGTTCGCCGCCGAAAACCGCCGTCCTAACAAAACCAGCGCTCCCGCTCGAGACTTCCTCCCGTCTTACCTTGGACTGGCGCGCTAGTCTTTCTCTCATCGGCGCCGCCCCCAGCAAAAACAACGCTCCCGCTCGAGGCTTCCGCCCTTTTTCACTCAAGGCGGTGCTCCTCCTCGCCGCCGAAAACCGCCGCCCCGACAAAACCAGCGCTCCCGCCCAAGATTTCCTTCCGTTTTACGCTGGACTGGCGCTCAACTCTCCTTTGAATTGGCGCCGGTCCCAGCATGAACAACGCTCCCGCTCGAGGCTTCCTCCGTTTTTCCTCGGGACGGTGCTGTTCCTCGCCGCCGACGGCCCCTGTCCCGACAAAACTACGGCTCCCGCTCGATGCTGCCTCCCTCCTTACTCAAGGCGGTGTTCTTCCTCGACGCCGAAAGCCGCTGTCCAAACAAAAGCAGCGCTCCCGCTCGAGACTTGGTTTTGTTTTGCGCTGGGCTAGCGCCCTACTCTATTTTGAATTGGCGCCGCCCAAAGCAACAACAGCAGCCCTGCTCGAGATTTTGTCCCTGTTTATTCAGGGCCAGGTCCTTGCCTCACCGCCGACAGCCCCCATCCCCAGCAAAGCAATCCTGCCCTTCGATACTTCCTTGTGCTTTACCCTTCGCTGGGGTTCCACTGGCGGTCTCGCATCGGCGCAGCAAGGCGCGGGCATGTTTTTTCGAGGCGGGATATGCTGAAATTCCGCGGAGGAGATGTTTGCAAGACCTCATTGGGCGGGAGATCAGGGAATGGGAAGAACAGATCCCGCTATAGAACAAGAGTCTCCCATGATGTGGATGGTTATCATGGTGGTCGCATGCTTCGTGTGGAAACGTCGCGCATGAGGGCAAAATGATTGTTATTGTTGAAGCTTCACTTCGGAAGAATAATTATTTTTGCCCCCCCCTCACCTGTACAAACTCTTTTTCTCAATCAAAGTGTGCCCCTTGACGCTCGCACCCTGTTTTTTGACAGGGAAAGTCTTGGTGCTCAAACTGGACCTCTGGCCCCCCGGATTACAACAACAACAACAACAACGTCTCCCGCCTTAGACTTACTCCAAATTTACTCAGGACCCCCGTTCCTGAGACTTCCTCACAATTTACTCAGGATCGGTGATCCCGCCTGTGACGCCCTCGCAATTTAGTCAGGACCCCCGGTCCCATCCTCACAATTTACTCTGGAACAGCGCTCCCGCTTGAGACTTCCTCGCAATTGAATCAAGACTTCCTTGCAATTTAATCAAGGCCCCCGCTCCCGCCAGAGAACCCTTCACATTTTATTCAGGAATTGCGCTGTCGCCTGTGACTTCCATGCAATGTATGCAGAAATCGCGCTTTCGACGCTCAGGAAACACGCTGCGCCAAGGACGCCGTTACAATCTACTTAGTAATCGCGCTCTCGCCATACTCAGGCATCCCGCTTGAATGTCCCACCCGCCCGACCCGCCCGTCAGGGGATCGCCCGCCTGTCGTGGGCTCCCGCCCGAAACTTCCTTCAGTAATCAACCGCCCCCCTCTTCGCTCCTTCTCTCCTGGCGTTTTCCCCCTTCCTTCGTCCCTCCCCTCCCTTCCTCCTACTCTTCCTCGTTCTCCCCCTCCTCTTTTCGCAGGGCCCACACCAATTCCAATGGCGGGCACGTGTACGCCCATGAAGGGTTGTCCGCCCGTTCAGGTTTGCCCGCCTGTCTAAGCCCGCCGCCCCCCGCAAAGAGAAAGAATCCCCCCCAAAGGGGGTGTGATCGAAGACAACAAGGGCGGGTATCGAGGCTGTGAGGACCTCGTTTCGAATGGCACGCGGGCAGGTAAGAGCGAACAGTCTTAGAATTGTTGTTGTTGTTGTTGTTGCTGTTGCTGTTGCTGTTGCTGTTGCTGTTGTTGTTGTTGTTGCTGTTGTTGTTGTTGTTGTTGTTGTTGTTGTTGTTGTTGTTGTTGTTGTTGTTGTTGTTGTTGTTGTTGTTTGTGGTTTGTGTGACTATGCGTGCGCACTGTGAGAGCGCGGTGCTGCAGAGCCCCTTGGGGCCTTTTCGGGGTCGTGCGGGCGTCTTTGCCGGCCCCCACGCGTTCCGCACGACATCGGAGCGCCGCACGGCGGCCGGCGGGGAGCAGGCCCCATGCCGACAGCGAGGCGGCCAAGGCTTGGGGCCACCTCGCTAGTGGGAGTCGGCCCAAGAGAAGCGCAGGCCGGGAGGCTGAGCGTTGAGCGAGCGCCCGCACGCAGGGTGTAATGCGTCATGGTGCTCGAAGTATTCGGCCTCAAAATCAGAATCTCCCTCGGTTGGCCCTCTGCACGCTCCTGCTCCCTGCCCTCCTCAACCCACGCGCTCGCGCGAGCGCGCGCGGACTGGCGGAGAGGAGACGGATGGAACGTGTGTGCGTGTGTGTAGGCCCGTGGTTCTTCCTGGATTTTTTTCCTCTGCCTGTGTTCACCACCATCGCCCACAGTCGGATCAGCGCCCGCATCACGTCGGGCCCATATGGAAACAAACGTGAACACGCAAATATACGTGTGTCACAGTGAAGGGGCTGAACGGTTCAGTCCCTGGGCGCGTGGCTGTAATGGGGTTCCGCGGTGCGGATTGTTGTTGCGTTTTTGTTGTCGTCCTCGCCAACGACCCCTCCGCGACCCACCTGCGATCCACCCCGCGATCCACCCGCGACCCACCCCGCGACCCACCCGCGACAAACCTCGCGACCACCCGCGACAAACCCCGCGATCCACCCCGCGCACTCCACCTCACTCTTATTCGCAACTGCGGGGTGCGACTTACCATATACATGAAAGGGAAACGAACTCTATACACCGACGCTTTTCCCGACCCTGCGCTGGAACTCGCACAGGAACGCGGATTCTGGTGTATACGGGATCCTGGTGTATACATTTTTCGTTGTTTCCCTTGGAAAACGGGGGAAACATATACACCACACCACCCCGACGTCGTCCCTGACCCCAAAAAAAACATGGGATTGGAAAACAAACCGCCACTGGTAATGTATATTTTCCAGTGTGCGACATGAACCAATATACATACATATATGTATATGCATATACATGCATACACATATACATAGACATATGCATATTTGTGTAATATACATATGCGTATGCATAGACACATACACATACACATACATATACACGTACACATCCACATCCACATACATATACATATATATATATATATATGTACATACACATATATGTCTGTATGTATATATATACACATGTACACTGACAGTTGTACATTTACATAAATCTATACACGCACACGCATATACGTATGTAGACACATAGCAGGCATCCTCGGTGGCGCGATGCAGCTCCGCAAGTTACCAACTGGCTAACAACCTTTTTTGCAAGAACGACAGACGAAGAGCGGAGAAGGAGGACGGAACGGACGAGAAGGGAGCAAGACGCAAAAAAAAAGATGATGGCACGACAGAGAAAGAGCAATGATACCGACCACCCCACCCGGCCACCTTGCGACAAGACCGAAGTTTTCCTCGTCCTCGTCGTCGTCGTCGCCATCCTCCTCCTCCGTAAGCGGGTCCGCGCGACGGGTGCGGTGGGCCTTGCCCTTGTCGTCAATCTCGCAGCCCGCCTCGCTCGGACGATATGACACCAGAGGGGTGGAGGAGGAGGAGGAGCATGCGAGGAGGTGGGGAGGAGGAGGAGGAGGAGGAGGAGGAGGAGAAGGAGGAGGAGGAGAAGGAGGAGGAGGAGCAGGAGGGAGGACCAGGGACGCTGACTCTAGAAGCTTACAAAAACGAGCGAGCGGAACAGAGGGTCGCTGAGCAATGGGTTGCCCCGCTGGCGCGTGCGGCTGGCGAACGCGATCCACTAATGGGGCACAGGCCATTGACGGTGATGATGGTGCTACAAATGGTAGATGCTGGTGACGGTGAGAGTTATGGTAAATGTTGCTGGTGATGATGCGGGGTGATGGTGATGGTGGTGGTGGTGACGATGGCGTAGTCAAGGTTTCTGATGTCGATGAGCGTGTTGTTGATGTGGATGATGCTGGCGATGATGGTATGGTGACGGCGATTAACGACGGTGATGGCGACGATGATGATGATCATGATGATGACGATGATGGCGATGCTGGTGATGATGGGGACGATGGCGACGAGGGCGCCGATGATGATGATGATGACGACTATGAGTCTGGTCATGAAGATGATGATGACCCTGGTGATGAAGATGCAGGCCATGACGGTGGTGAAGATGCTGATGACTATTATGATGATGATAGTGGTAATGATGATTCCGACGATGATGACGATGATGATGATGCTGATGATGATGATGATGGTGGTGGTGATGATGATGATGGCGATGGTACAACCGATAATGATGATGATGATGATGATGATGATGATGATGATGATGATGATGATGATGATGATGATGATGATGTTTTCCCCCAACGGACCGATGGCGTTCAGCGGGATGACAATCGACGAAGTCAAACAACTGCCACAACGACGCAAGCGAATCAGCCATACTGCCGGGTAAAACAGCGCAGCTGGTGGCGCACGCCAGCGAACCACCTACGGGTGGGCGCCAAGGGAGAGAAGCAACGCCGCACCGCAGGGAGGAGAGCAAAAATCAAAAGAGGGCGGCCGATCGCATGGTCAGGCCTCGACTAAGCTGGCCACCGAGCGAACCCCACGAAGGACGGAGGTAAGCGGCGGCGGTAGCATCGCAAGGAGTTTCGTACTTGTCCCGACCTCGCGCATGCGAGGGTAGAAAGAGCGGGCGACAGCGAACAGGGTTAGTCAGTATAGTCACAGTCTGCTGCGCTGAAGCATGCCTGCAGTTGCACTCCACCGAACGCACCCAGGAGCTCTCGGAGAGGCGGGGCACATACTAAAGTCGACTAGACGCCGACGACCAAAAGAGCACGCAGAGACAGCAGCGGGCGGACTCGCACTGAACTGCAACTCCAACAAGAGAGGCAGAGCAGCAAGCGAGCAAAAGAGCGAGAGAAGCGAGACAGGCGGCGGCCCTGGAATCAAGGCGCTTCCTCGACTGACTCCGAGTATGCTGCACGGCTGCACGGATAGGAGGGTGGCGTTGCGTGCGCAGACGGACACGGCCCTCGAACACCTGCTCAGGAGTGGCTCTCGCAGCCGCAGTTCGAAGACGGAACTGCGAATGCGCATGAGCAAAACTCTCGCCAAAAACACACTGAGCAACGCCGCGTTTAATGTCGGGAGCGGCCGACATAACGGGGGACGGACGGGGAAAGGGGGTGCAAAAACATAGGGAAAACGCGCGGGGCCCAGGTCGGAAACGAAGCAAGAACACGCGGACAGTGCACGTAGTGGGTATCGCCACTGTTAACTTTGCCTGATACCAGCAAGCCCTCGGTGATAACATCGGCGCAATTTTCTCATCCCTGATTAAGCCCTCGCTCACCTCGTACTGATCGGTTTGGGGGCGCGTGAGACATCGCAGAGGTCCGAACACCCCAGCAGAAGACCCGCAAAACAGCCGCAACCAAAGACATCGAAACAGAGCGGCAAACCTTCCGTATTCGAATCCCACCAGCCCTTTGGGCGCAGGTGGTCTAAGGCGGCTTCTCTTCCAACCCTGTTCTTCCCCCTACCCCCCTACCCCGGACCTGGAGGAGGGGTTTCGCGAGGTGACGGAGGGTCCTTTGGGGCCCAAGACGGCTCCAAGAGCGCCTCAGAGAGCCAAGAAGACTTCCATGGTGGCTCAAGATAGCCCAAGCGGGCTCAACATTGTTCCTACATGTTCCAAGAAGCCTCACAGACGTTCCGGGACGGCCCCGAGTTGCCGCAGAGCCTGCCGCGGAGGCCCCCGATAGGCCAACGTTCTACAAAAACCAAAGACAATCAATCACGTTTGCCCACTCGCCCGTTTGCTTACGATGACCTTCCGGGGCCTCAAAAATTGAACCAGAGAGCCCGAGAGAGGCCCAAGAGAGCCCCGAGAGCGCCCCAAGACCGCTCCAAGAGGGGCCCAAAAGGCGATTCTGGGAGCTTCCGAGGGAAGGGGAAGGGGGGGGCGAACTAAGGGACTACGATTATTTGCTCGAGCTCTTCCAGGATGGCTCCAGAAGGGCTTCCGAGGCCCCCGAGACAGCTCCGAGGGGCTCCCGCAAGGGCCCCCAAGAAGCCCGCGAGCGGCCCCCAAGAGGCCCCCAGGAGGCTTCCACCGGGCATGCAAGACGTCCCAAGAGGCTCAGAAGGTCGCCAGGAGGCCCCTAAGACGCCCCAGGAGGCCCCCATGCAAGTCCCGCCAACCCTCTGAGCGTAGGTGGTTAACGGCGGTTTCTCTTCCAGCATCCCCTCTTCCCCTTCGGGGAGGGGTTTACCCCTCCCCCTCGCCTCCTCTCCTGGATTTGGACGGGGCGCCCAGCGAGATGTCAGCGGGCCTCGCTGGGCCCAAGATGGCTCCAAGAACGCCTCAGAGAGGCCCAAGCTGACCTCCAAGATGGCTCAAGATAACCCGAGTGGGCTCAATATGGTTTCCTAGATGCTCCAAGAGGCCCCAAAACCATTCCAAGACGGTCCCAAATTGCCGCGGGGCCTTCCACGGACGCCTCCGAGAGGCCCAAATCCAACAACAACTTAAGGACAATCCATGAATGCTGCCTTCTCGCTCTTTTGCTCTCGATGGCCTTCCGAAGCTTCAAGGCGGCTCCAATAGAGGCCATCAGGGCCCTGAAAGAGGCCCGAAAGAGCCCCGAGCGTTCCGAGAGGCGATGTTGGGTGATTCCGAGGGGGGGGGAGGGCGAATTAAGAACCCTCCTTTCTTCGCTCGAGCTCTTCCAAGATGGCCCCAGGGCGGCTTCCAAGGCCCCCAGGGCAGCATCGATAAGCCCCTGGGAGGCGCCCAGGAGGCCCCAGGAGGCGCCCAGGAGGCCTCCAAGAGGCCCCCAAGAGACACCGAGAGGCACCGAAAAGCTCCCAGAGGCCCCCAAAACGCCCCAAGAACCCCCCGGGACCGCCAACAAGCCCCCAAGACGCGCCAAGAGGCCTCCAAGAGGGGCCATTCTTTTGCGTGCTGCCCACTTCCCTTGTCGAGGCAACCTCTCTGGGCATCGTCTCTGGCTGGAGGTGGGGTTGCGCGAAGCGTCGAGAATTTGGGAAATCAGAAACCGCGCGCCAGGGGCAAGAGGAAGGGGACTCCCCTGGGAACTCCACCGAATACAGTACCAGGTCTCTCCGAGTCCCCCCGCGTTTCCACGAGCTGCGTTTGCGACGCTGCAGCGGGATCAGCATTGATATGACTGGAGAGCGGCATGAACCCTGTCGCTGCGTCAGACATATGACAGGAGCGAGTTCACCCCCCCTGCGCCAGACGGCCAGGCGTGACATCAGCGGAGCTGGCGCGACCAGCCGCAAGGGCCGTCTGGTATTCTTGCCGAGCGGGAAAACTATGAGCTATGCGAAACACTGGCACTATCGCGACATGCTTGGCCGACGTGCAGCGCGCATTGCACCCTGTGTCACCCAAGAGCCGCATCATCTCACTGCTGAAGCTGCGGCGAAGGCCAGCGCGAAATATCTGGAGAGCAAGTTCTTCTAACTGATAGACGTGGGCAATCGGCCGATGGAACTGCATCGTGTAACTGAGCGCAAGCACGGCGCGCGCGTTGCACGCGACAATAGGCTCTGCCAGGCCCACGCCCACACCGCGGATTTTACAATCACAAACGAAATTCTTACCGCACTGCGTCGGAAAGCTGTGACACTGCGCTTCAGGACCCACAGAGACAACCAAGTATCTGCACCATCGAGCAACCTGGCAACTGTCGCGACCTCTGCCAACGGATCCCCGGAGTTTAATACATACAGACAGGTCACCAGGACGTCGCACCAAAACAAAATGTCACCATAGTGCAGCTCTAGACCGATGGCATCTGCGAGGGGGCAGAGCTTATCGAAGACTGGCAGCAAATCAGTAAACAAGTTCGCCAGACGGAAACTGAGGTCACATGCGTATCGCGCGAGGCCGAACCTAGGTGGACATGGCGCCAGGGGCCGCCGACAGACTGGGCCCAGGGCAAAGCCAAGCAGGAGCGTCGGCGCCGGGCGCCCTCGGCGGGCCCCCGACCCGACAGGAAGACGCCAGGATGGCCCCGCAGAAATGCACCCCAGCAACAGTGTCTTCGTAGAAGTGTTCAAAGAACTTCACGGACCAGAGCAGAACCACATCTTTTCCTAGACGAACAGCGTACACTCAGTCAACGGACTAGAAACAATCAAGAGCTGGGCAAACCCATCGCCCCCCTCCAGATTGGCAATCACCCCTCCAGCTTCACAAGCTATGATATTGCCCAGGATCGAAGGTCCAGAAACGTGTCCAGACTGCACGGGGTAAATTCAACTACTCTGGCCAAAGGGCCGGCGACGGCGGAAGTGGCCAACTTGCTGTCGGCGCAACCCTTGGACGGCGGGCAGGTGGGGGAAGTCCTGCGGGCAGGCGCACAGGGGCTATCCGTCTGATGGTCCCCGTTTGTCAAGCACTCCATAAGCAAATCGTTAAAGGGCACCAGGGTAGGAGACAATGGAACTTGAACTCGCGCAGAATGTCTCGTGCACCACGACAACGCACTTCTAACGA